CCCATGGTATCGAGCAGTGCGACCTTACTGCCTGCTCTCTCATTGGAAACAAAGTTGAAAATAAAGTAGGCCCTTTGGGACGAGGCTGGGGGTACCTGTGAAACTGTTTATCCCCAGCTATACCCTGTTTCCCCTTCACAGATACCCCTCCAGTCACTAACCATGCATGATGGGGAAACTCTGAAAGCGGTACTGGTCATGTTTTGGGTGTTTTCCTTCTGCGCCGATTGGATGGGTTGCATTGACCCCCCCCCCCTTTCCCAAGAACATGCCATCGACCCCTTTGCATTCGCGCCTTCATGTCACACCGTACCGATTTCTATCTCAACCGGTCAAATCATGAAATTGCCATGGAACGAGCCGTGCTACCAGCACATTACGACCATGCACCGACCGTGAAAACCATTTCCTGCATGTTACGCCACAATTCTTCGTACGTCCATCCGTTCTCGTCCCATCTTCAAGTAGTCCGTTAATTTACTCTTCTGCCCCGTTACCCTTTGGCTCAGTACGCAGAGCTCTCGTCATAAATTAAACACACACTATAAACAACTCGAGAAAGGAGATGTGAACAGACAAAAACAAACAATAATCGTTGGCTGTAGTTTGCCACATTATGTGCGGAAATGTCCAACTTTTATTTGCAATTATCATACAGCATTGTTCGTGTGTGTGTAGGCTACACAGTAAAATGAAATAAACAGTCGTGGGCCCAATTTCATCTAGCTGCTAAATAAGCAGAGAAGATTGCTTGTTTAAGCAGATTTAACTCGCTAAGCGAATATCCGCTGAGTACCCGTTAAAATTATTACACACTGCATGTGCATTGCATTTTCACTTGTAACCTAATTTGTCTTACCTGCTCAGCAAATATTCTGTGCTCAAGCAGCTCCATAACATTGTCCCAAGGAGAAAAAAAACCCAAAAAACAAAATTATAGACGGTTTGCACTGCAGCCATGTTTGAGGTGTGTGCTTTTGTTCAGCAGGGATACGCATGAGCAAACCCCTTGTGCATTCATTGTTAATGAATTAACATAACAAAACACACCTCAAACATGGCTGCTCAATGTAATCAGTCTATTGTATTGGCGTGTCATATCTGCTGGTCTGAACAATGCCCAAGCGGAGTGACCTGATTTCTGGAGGCCCTTTTTTTTAGCATTCCAAGAGATCTATTATTGCACTCAATCACCTCTAGACTGATCAGTATATTATAGGCTTAAAGTAGTTTTCAAATCTATCTCCTAAATTATAATGTTATATCTTTTGAATGATCTCTAAGTATTTAATACAATTATTAATACGGGAAATGGAACCTTAGAGAGACATTCCTGTAGGTGCATATTTTCCCCCTAACTTTTAATAGTGACCCCTAACCCCAACTTTCCCTCATCCTAGCTACTCCCACGAATGTTGGTAAAATTTATGTTTTTACCAGGAGCAATCGATGTAGCGTATTTGCGAAAATTATTGCCTCTAAATAGGAGTTGTGACGTTATGTAGGGAGACAGTGAAATGTCTCCCTGATGTCCGATGTCTCCCTAAGGTATAACGTATGACGGAAATGTCTCCTTAATGGTACATTAACAGAAATTAGGCTAACTGTAAATGTTCAAGATAGTAATATGTTCACATAATATGTAATATGTTCAAGATAATAACTGTAATGTTCACATATTGACTCCTTGGTTTCTCTTGTCGGTTTGTGTAGTTGCAATATGTTCACATACTGACTCCATGGTTTCTCTTGTCGGTTTGTCTAGTTGCAAGCGTAAAGTCTGATTACGACGGTCCGAAGATACTTAATGTCATACGTCATGTCAGTACGTGTCAACATAAATGGTACGGTAATACTTTTATCGGACCCGTGCACGAATATTGAGGGCGCTATATACATAATAAGCAAACCTGTACCCTGCAGCCTGCAGGTGGTATCTCGCTGGTTCGCGCGCAATCCGATGTAGCATTATCAACAGTTGCGAGTTATTAGTCTACCAGTGAAGTGTAATCCAAAACCAAGACTTTCATCTCCGTAGGGCCCGCGTAGTAGTAAAGTGGTGACATTTCTTTTTATAGTGTTGTTGGGTTAAAAGTTCAAGGAGATGACAAGCAGTCAATGTAAAAGGCGATGGTACCCCTGATACAAGTTTTAAGGTCATGCAACTCTTGACCTGCAGACTGCTTTGCCATCTCGACTTTATACGTTGTTAACCTCTCCCATCACGAACACAGCTTTTTTCTACCATGCATAACTCGGCGAAGCAAATCGGTGATTGGAAGTTTCATGCTCCTTACTATTGGTGTGCACGTAAACGTAATAGGGAATTTGTTCAACTTTACTGCGCGTTAACAGTGCCAGGAACCTCGACACTCGACCAACATGACCGGTCAATTGGAGTCCGTTTTCTTAAAAATGAAAGACTGGTATCGCGCAAGCAGTTGTTGAGTTTGAATCGGAGGAAAATTCGGGAAATAAAAGCGAAATCCTTTGATTGGACACTTTTAACTTAATCCAACTTCTTTGTCTGCTTTTAGATCATATAAATCGTAGTATATTTTGAAGGGTTTCATACAGTGGAAGTATATCTTATGAGATTATGCTCTAAAATCAGCCCTATAGACCATGATCATGTTGCGGCCATCTTGATTTTTTTCCCATTCAAATCAACCTAACCAAAGCGAGGCTGGAAGATAAAATAGTCTGGTTCCTTTTTGCAAAACAAAATTGTCATTCAGTACTGTTATTGGATACAGGGAACATGACTGAAAATGGTGGCAGCATGATAAAGGTCTATAAGTTTTTTCTTTTGATTTCTAACGAAACGGAGTTCTCTGGCCAAAGTTTATCTCAAGAACCGGTCAGGTCCAAGGGTCGAGTAAAAGTCACGAAAACACGCCACACAGATCGATGGTCTGTGTAATTTAAGTCTTATAGTCATTCTATGTCTGGTATATGCATGCACCGCCGTTTTGGTCCAGTATCAGTCACATTCATCCTTGAATAGTGACTTCATTAGAAAACCAAATTAATTAGAGAACGTCATTTTACCATAAGTTGTTTTAATATTTCCGTTCATATTCAAAACGTTTGATCGCATCCACTCAAGCGTGCACATGTTTTTAGTTCTATGGGATATTTTAACTTATGCCTCATGCAATTAATCCTCGAATTTAAGGTACTTAGTAAATTTTATGATATGAATTTTATACCCCTCTTAAAATGTTCAGCGGAAAAGCGATGCACGTTAACTCTTAATTTAACAATAAAATCAGCTGCTAGTCATATGTTGAATCCTTGGGCAAGCCACTTCATCCCCACTTGCCTCTCTCCACCCAGGAGTATAAATGGGTACCAGCATTAGCTGGGGAGTAACCAGCGGTGGACTAGCATCCCATCCAGGGGGAGTAGAAATATTCTCAGTCGTTTCATGCTACTGAAACCGGAGATAAACGCCGACCTGATGGGCCACGTTGGCTCGTGACAGACTTTACTTAGTTTCAATATTTACTTAACATTAGAATTCAGTGTGATTTGGATTGAATTGAACTATAGCATCTTTGGGTTGAAAATAAAAAAAACATGCAAGGTTTTTTTCCTCAGTCCAGCTGATTCTCTGCCACTTAAATGATTGTCAGTGAAGGTTTTTAAATGCTAAACGTCTTTCTTGAAATGACGCCCCCCCCCTTGACTTGAGCATACACTTGGCCGTCATCAATGAAAATGCCAATTATTGGAACCGAAATTTTGCGTGGGACCAATGTCACGGTGTTGCTTTTCAGAAACTGTTGCCTCGCAAAATGTTGCTATATGTAAAACGTCAGCGGAGTACCAGCCACAGACGTAAACAACCCCATGACATTTGGCTGGTAACCCGTCTTGACCAACTAACATTCATATGTGCTAAAGACAATTTGCTCAAAGGCTCCAAGAAATTGACCACATATTTGTTTCTTGTAGTTAATCTTATAACTGTATTAATTGTAAGAGCGTTAAAACTACGATTGAACCGAAACATAACATTGTATAAATACAACAACCAGCTGCTCAAAAACTACCAGTAGTTCCTTATTCATATGTAAATTGTAAACCAATGGAATAAATTATTTGATTTTGCTCTCATTGATATTGAATTGAATTTTTACGCAAATGCGCGAGGCCATAACAAAACTCAGTCGTTATAACCCCAACCGCTAATTTATCCAAAAAGTAACTAGAATTTTTTGTACATGCCTCTGTCAATTGCCTCGTTTAAAAGTTAGTCCGGTTTTATACAAGGTGTTCAGTAGACAATATAAAATGCATAAACGAAATTGTGAAAGCACACTTATACGTAAACACCAGAAGCTTAAGATAAGTTCAACATATCACATTATACCAACCACTTAACAGAATGCTGCCTCGTGTATATAATAAAAAAATTACTACATACGAAATACGAGTGTGAACTTAGAGCATGCGCAGACGAAGCACTTCGTCACGTGTGCGGAATGGTCCAATGAGGACCGCATTGAAACCGTTAGCCACGTCGTCTTCAATCAAACGAGGATTCATGCACGTGCTGTACAGTCTCACGAGTCTGGAATACTGACTTCGTTCCCATTGTTCTGTAAACTTCTGTTTGTCTGTGGGTTACTTATGTCCGGATGCATTACCTCAAAACTTGCACATTTGGTTTTTGTTATACCTATGTCTTGAATACTGTATTTTCATTTGCCTAGAACGATCACGTGTTAAGTTAATAAAAAAGTCATAGCACACTCCCTGTGGGATATTACACATGCTTTGTACGCTGGGTACGCATACGGTGTGAAACGCCTGTATCGTTGGTACCCACGCTATTTTCACCATGTTTTCACATGTGAGTGGGAGCAGCGAACTAGCAGACAATCAGCTGTTTCGAGCACGCACCATGCATGTGAGTTGACGTTCGATTGTCATGATTGTTGTGTTTACTGCTGTTTGTTTTCGTGATTTTTACATCAAAATCCAAAGAATCGAAGACAGAGGTATAACAAAACAATTGTTGACCCCGAGGGTGTTCAAGACGTCATATCCCACATCACAGCAGTCGACAATTGTTAAGTGAAGCCACAAATTTAGTGTTGAAAAAATATTTACATTGACACATTTACATTGCGTTTAAATAAGATGCTGACATTTTTAAAACAAAGAAAAGTAGTGATAGTTAATATTTTCCTTATACGTGTGTTTGACGAGGAAGCAGGTGCGTATATAAAGTAATCCAACATTATTAAAACGAGCCATTGTGAAAAAAAGTAAAATCATATCATATAAAATTCAGCCTGTTTTCTCACTGTTATGTCCTCCTTTGACTTCAAAAGTGACAATTTTGTTGTCCGATGGAGCATGATTACCAGTAAATTCGTGGTCCGTTGTATACAAAATATTACTTTTGACGTGCATAGCCCGTATGCTTCGTTTGTTTTATATACAAATCCCGTCATGCGAAAAAATATAAACAAACATACACCCAGCACATTTTTGAAATCTATAATAATATATTGATTAACAATTCCATTACTTTCTGAATAATATGTACAGTGTTCATTCCATCAATATTTCTGAGTGTTTGCCGCAATATATAATTATTGTCCAGTCCTCTTTTCATCCAATGGCCCTCCAAAACAATCAATGAAGTCAAATATTGCGTGTTAGCTGACCACTTATCTTTTTTAAAATAGTTACGTTAACTAAATAAAGCTAGCTATGTGCATCTCATGTAACGGTTGGTTGTTCGTGAAAGTTGACTCGCCAGGTTGCCGGGTTTGCCTGTGCAGTGCTGGTTGAACCGGTACTTTTACTGACCAGTACTAATGTTTAACCATTACAAAGTCGGCTAAACCAGTACAATGCTGGTGAAAGCAGTACAGTACCGGCTTAACCGGCACAGAACTAGCTAAACTAATAAACTGCTGGTTAAACCGGTACAGTACGGGTGTCACCGGTGCATGCCGTTTAACATGAACAGCACCGGTAGCTGAAAAACCATTTGATTTCCCCCATAAATCGATCAATTACAATGATTAAGAAAATCAAAAGTATAGTTAAACTAAAGTACACTTTCGTCGCTTATACTACTTGCTGTTGTGCCTTATGTTTTTTTTATGTCCAATGCAGTAAACTCTCCCGTGCGTGAGGGCATGCATATTTTTGCTCTTGAAACTTTGAAAGCATGCTGAACAAAAATATGAATGCCAGTTTTCTTTTTAATTATACACCATTTGTACTTAGTGTGCCTCTTAAAATATTTACACATAGTAAAACTAAGAAAGGTTACGATTGTACCTATAATTTATGAAACTGATGTATAACTTGGACGGGTTCTTCACATGTGCGTGTCACATTCGACAACGTCAGGACTGAAGAAGACTTTAGTTTCTTTTGCGGATGACGGCGAGGCCTTACCTGGACCCCTGACTACCTTATCAAGTGTCGCGATGCCATTGGGCCGAGCAGTGTCACGTGACTCTGACGTAGTGTCAGATGGGTCAACCTTATTGGTCCCCCTCAGTCTTTCCATGACGCCGCCACCGGCGCTGGACGCCCGGCTGTTGTTGCTCTTGCTGCTGTTGTTGGAGCTGCTCCGGAGTCGATTCTCCTCATTCAGGTTGGCATCGGTGGTAGCCTCCACTCCGGGTGCAGACAGGTACCTCCCCGTCTCGGTCACATAGTTCGGGTTGAAGTGGACCTCATTCGCACCTGAGGAGGAGGTTGTCGGGAACTGAATACCTCGACCCGAAGAAGACGTCTTGGTATTGGCACGCAGCCGCGTCTGCGTAAAGATGTTCATCTCATCCTCATCCACGAAGTACAAGGCGTAGATCTTGACTGCGAATAGACAGGTCAGGGTGACAGTGGCGTTGATGATGAGACCGGCGGAGTAGTAGCTGGCCTGGTAGTACGGCTCCTTGGAGGTGAAGTAGATTGGCGAAAAGGTGACGTAGACCACCAGCGTGCAGAAGCTGCAGAAAGTGATGAAGCGTGTCTCATTGTAGTTCTCTGGAAGCTTCCGGGTCATGAAGGCGAAGATACAGCAGACGATGATGAGTGCCACGTCCCAGACCATGACACCGACCGTCTCCACGATGTTCAGCTGGCAGGTGACTTGAAGCTTGTTTTCCCTCTCGTTGGGCATCTCCAGGATAACGCTGGGAGGGTCGACGATCAGCCAAATCACAGTCCAAATCACCTGCAAAGGAGAGATATAGAATTTTCAGCAACTCCAGACCCGTGAAGTGAAACCCCAACTATTGGAGCCACTCAACACAGAAATGTACTCAAATCCTCACAAAATATAATATGTCTCACAAAATAATGAAAATGAATTGAATCATTCAACGTTTTGTGAAGGCATGCACCACTCCAGGTTCAATGTCCTGATCAATGCAGCTGTGTACTGAGCAACCATGAGGGTAGATTGAAAGCATGTCATCTTTAGAATTTTTGTTTAAAAATAGGCTTTCTCTTAAGGTTAAATTTGGTAAAGGTCTACTTACCGCTAGTGCTGATACGGATAGTGATAAGACCACCTGGAACATTGACCCGATGTAGTTGGGTCTCTTGGCCGATTTTTTAGATGCTGTGAAGATGCGGAAGAGACGGATCGTCTTGGTAGCTATGGAGGCATAGATGAATGACGCTGCTATACTAGGACCAAGACGTCGGAGGACGCAGACAAAAGGAGAAGGAGCGATGGAGAAGACGATGGCCGTGACGTAAGAGAGGAGGATGCCGACGAAGATGATGTAGCTAAGCTCCCGGCTTGATGCCTTGATGAGTGGCATCTCCTGGTTGTATATGTAGACGGCCAAGGTGAAGATGGTGGCTACCACGCACACACAGGCCACCGTGATAATGGCGATGGCCCATGCCTGCTCCCCGAGTATGAAGTCCGAAGGTATGTCCACGCAGACCGTCTGGTCTGCGTTTGGCCAGGCGAACCTCCTGTTGTCCACGTCGATGCAGGACTCGCAGCTGGTGCCATTGACGGCAACAATCTCGGACTGTTCGCAGGGGGTGCAGGTCCAACAGCATAGGTTATCCGGGATGCGGTTGATCTTCTCCCCTGGCTTGCAAGGGTCGCTGCAAACCGACCTCGGTATCCCCGTGGTGGGATCTACCGATGCTCCGTCCCAGAGGTACCAGGGTAACCCCGATTCTATCTTGAGATTCGGGACGTCTTCGTCCGTGGACTGCTTCCACTCGCCCACCAGCTGGAAGGTGTACTCTCCCGTAGTCTCGTTCATCTCCAAGTGGTTGACGGCATACCTGCCGTACATGTTACCACTCTCTGTGAAGCTGATCCAGCCATTGGCGAGGCTCTCAAACTCGGTCTTAAGCAGATATTTCAACAAGATGTCCCCGTCAATGTCTGTCATGTTGGAGCACAGCCCTTCCTCTGCTTCGGGGCAAAGGTCACGGCGCATGCGGTCTAGGCCGTGCGCGAAGGTGAAGACGGAGTCCATGACCAGAGTCTCGTGGGCGACTTTACCGTCGTCCGCTAGTTGGATCAGGCCCGGCTCGTCGCAGCCATCCAAGGAGCAGCCGGTGTACTTCTCGAGGAATTCCCGCAGCCAAGGGTTATTGCTGGATGTGTTCAGGGAGTGGAAATACTCGTCAAAGTCATCCAATCTCCGCGACAGAGGAGATAATGTGAATGCACCTGCAGCGGTGAATAAAAAGAAGAGAATATGTTAAACTTTTTAGAAAGAGATCTGCGAAGTAATGAGTCCAAACTATTAACGTAGTCGGTAGTTATGGTATTATCATTCCTTAACATGCCTTCATAAACCATTATCATGTTGCGGCCATCTTGATTTTTTTCATATTCAAATCAACGTGACCAAAGCGAGACTGGAAGGAAAAATAGTTTGGTTCCTGTTTGCAAAAAAAAACATCATTCAGTACTGTTATTGGATACAGGGAACACGACTGAAATGGTGTCAGCATGATAAAGGTCTATTATCACAAGTCTGTAACAAGTAATTCAGTATACCGGTCATGTCGCAAGCTCGTAGGACCTCCAGCACAAAAAGGTGTCCCAAAACTGTGATTTCTTTGTCACTGTTTTCCCCCCTGCTACCGTTTACCTTTTCTTGTGATAGACTTGTGATTTGACTTGTGATTTGATTTGTGATAGACCTGTTTTGACTCGTGATGGACTTGACTACAGCCCCGGATGGCTGATTTGCAGGGCCGTAACTGTCGTAATGGTTGTTGATCAAAATTGAAAGCAACCTTCCCGTAACAATTATTTCGTCTCTCTAGATATTGAATGAGACGGGAGTCGAAACATTCTGAAGTAAATAGTCAAATTACAGAAACACTCAATTCACTTTTGGTGGACATTGAAAAATGCTGGAAGTTAAGTGACATGCTGATTGATTTCACCTGTAAATATTCTAACAAGAATTTGAAGTAGACGATGCCAGACGGCGGGAATTTGGCAGAAAAGGACCTTCGATGGTAAACTTCTCTGACAGCAAGTAACCCTGTTTTGTCATAAACCAATGATCGCGTGCTATGTATACGACAGCCCCCGAAAGCGTGTTGTACGTGCTGTAAAATTCGATAACGTTTCTTCCGACTTCATGCAGTGCTGAGTTTGCCCTTTTGCTGTGTAGAGACGGAAACGCCGTATCAGAACGCAGACTTTGTAGCTCCTTTGCGCTTCCACATTCTCGCGTAATCTCGTTCGCTTTGTGAGGTCGGCTCGCACGTATACCTTTTGAAATTGCTAGGAATCGGCTAAACATCATTGCTATCTGATGTTCCCCTTGCTTGACATACTGATATAAAAAAATGAAGGGTTGTGTGGGGGAAAAAGAGGTCACATAATGAATAACTTGTCAATTTTGTCATTCAATTTGATAATTTTCTGTGCCTATATAGATCCCAAGATCAGTTAGAATTGTTATGCAAAAGCAGTCGCGATAACATAAAAGGCCCCCGGTACAATATACAGGGTGTCCAAAACAAGCGCAACATTCAGAAAACAAATAATTAAAACTGTTTAGTGTTTGTTTTCATCAATGAAATTATATATTACATTAAAGCCTGACTATGTCTCAATCCACTCCTTTTTACCCTATTCCATTTGGGTCCCTAGATCCAGAAATACAATCGATTAAGTGAAAGGGTGTACACGTTACTTGGGCCACTCTCACCTGTGATGTCACTAACTTCAATGCCTATATTCAATGCCTTAATGCTTAACCCAGATTCAGCATGTCCTTAGCTTCATTGCCGATCGTGATAATGCGATTTTGAATGTGAAATACGTTCCGACGCAGAAGGTTAAACCAGCAGATGTTTTTGTTCCCTGGATTTGTCCATGTTTTAATTTCAATTTCCTTTCGTTAGCCACGGGCGTTTGACATTTAACATACATGCGCTTCTAATAATTAGCACAATTATTGTCTACCAATGCCATATAATTATATCAATGCAACCGCATTGGATGGTTTGCAAACCTAATAGATTTCATTTTCCTCAAATTTTCCAATAATGTCGTCGTAAATATGCTTTGTTATCGCAATTTGTAACACAGAAATATCAACTCCGTCTAACATATTGACACTATTAGCCTGTATATTTTAATAAAGTTAAACGCCACGCTTTATTGTTTAATTTGATTGCTCATTACTGTAAAACGGGTAAACAGGTCGAAATGATCAACGTCTGTGTATTTAAAGGCCTGTCGCCCCAGGCATTTACTGTAAATAAAGTTTACAGATTTTCATTGGTGTATTTTTCGTAACTAACTTTTCCGACCATCAGAGATTTTACTCGCGAGACAGTTCCGTGAAAATTCAACACCATGTCATGTCTGTAAAATGAACCACTTTACTGGTATGGTGTTATAACATGGTGTAAAGATAACACCAAGTTTGTTTTGCAGTGTTTGTGTCATATAACGAAAGGTTGCGCAGTCTTACTATTGTCTTTATTATTATTATTATTATTATTGAAACTGGGTAGCCCATGCAGTGGAATCCACTGGTCTCCCACGGGGCCAAGTAAAGAGACAGACAATGCGAAGAAATTACAGTTTTAGATGTGGGAGGAAAACCCCAGAAGAACGTTGTGAGAAAAACCCACGGAATCAGGCAGGGACTGAAAACCCAATCCACATGTGGACTAGGGCAGGAATCGAACCCGGGTCACAGCGGTGGAAGGCGAGGAAAGTACCGCTACGCCAACCGTACTCCATAAATGCAGCTAAACATTTTAATTCTCAATGCAAAATGTTGCAATTCTGTATGTCTATATAGCTCTAACTTCGTTGACCTGGCAACGTGAATAACGAGAACTAAAAACGAAAGTTTGGACGGTCTGTCGTTCTATGCAGTTGGATAAATGATCTTCGTAATAGCAAACTTTTATCATTTATTTTCTTGCAGTGACCCCGTGGTATTTGCACAATAATAACCCAGTGTTATCTCAACCGTTAGTGTGTCTTTCTGTTCGTACGAAATCTGACTTACGGTGTTTTATTCCATTACGGCGATTAATTGAGTTCACCTATATAAATTATGTACACAGGGGAAAATAGCGGGAAAAGAAAAAAAATGCGGGAGATCGAACCGCCGATCTTGCTAAAACATTTCAAGTAGGCAGTAGTTCACAATAACAAGGATGATTTATAGGGGCTAAATGCAGAGCTTTTAAGAAAAAGAAGGAAAAAAATAGGAAAAACACACAACAACCGGAACTGCCTAGTGGTTGGAGAGGAGTTGCCATGGCAACCGGCCATAGTGATGGATTTGTCCACTCTCCAGTTGCTTTTTCCAGTAATGGATGTTGATCTTGGAAACCGATGCTGTATTGGAGGATAACAATGGGGCACCTTTCGGTGCGTACGGCTTTGATAGATTTGGAGGACAAATGGGGAGAAACATCAAGTGGTCGATAGTAAGTCTGTTTAGGAGAGAGGAAAGCAGTCTGGGATCGTCCCCAGGGTTTGAGCACCTCGTTCTCAGAAATATAACAGCGGGGTCAACAACGCTACAGAAACCATAAGGGGGATGACAGCCTTGAAAATGCAGAGAAACAGGAAAAGTGACTTAGGAGATCAGCGTTTGACAGTGAAACTACAGTTTATTTTATTTCATGCTTAATTTATAACTGGGTAGCCCATTCAGTGGAATCCACTGGTCACACATGGGGCATATTAAAGGGCAGATAGTGTGAAGAGATTACAGTTGTTGACGTTGGAGGAAAAAAGTAACCCACAAGAATATTCTGGGGAAAACCCACTGAATCAGGCAGATCTGCAGGCAGGGACTGAAAACCCAATCCACATATTGGCACAGGCGGGAATCGGACCGGGGTCAACGGTGGTTGAAGGCGAGGAAAGTACCGCTACGCCAACATATATAACACGAGTTAAAAAGCAAAAATGAGGCTATTGGGCCACAGTCACTCACGGAGTTTATGAGGATCATTTTGATTTTCCGTTCATTATTTTAATTTTAGATTAACTCCAGGGACATCTGTGGGTTTGTTTTTTTGGAATCCCGATTTGGGTGTTTTAGCTGCATGTTTATTGTGTTGTGCCTCGTTGGCGTTTTTTTTTTGTATAGTGTCTGTGTTTTCTATCTTGTTTGTTTACATGTTTTTTTAGTCTTTCTTGGAATGATTAATCATTATTTCATCGCACTCCTTTTTGGTTTTCATTGCCTTTCTAATGAATTTTTAATCCTCATTGTAGCGCGACCTTTTCTTAATGATTAAGGCGCGTTATAAATTTTGTATTATTATTACAACCACAGAATAGGACCTTTGGGAGACAATCAAGCGTCATAAGTTATACCTTTGGGAGAGACATGTGGAATTAGGCAGACATTTCAATGTCTCCCTAATGCCTCAGCCCCTATTTTGAGGCGAAATGTAATCGTTGCAAATCGGCTAGATCGATTGCTCGTGGTCCAATTAGTAAACATACCAACATTCATGGGGGTAGGATAAGGTAAAATTGGGGTTAGGGGTCATTAAAGTTGGAAACAATATTGTGCACAAGTCTATGGGAATTCTCCCTTATGACCCATTATCGATAATCTGTGTTTTTGTTATTATTCTGACAAGTAATTGATGTCAGTTTTTCAACCACTCGGTTGATCCTTTCAAAATATGTTGTCGGCCGTTGTAGCCTCCGGCTGTTAAAATTTAACTTAGTCAATCTACCATATCTGACATGGAAACGTAAAATCATCGCTTTGGCTGTGGTTGAATCCATCTGGATACATTTTGGTTATCGATTTGGTTATTGACTTAATTCATCAACGATTAATTTAGATAGACAGTATTATTGTTTTACTGATGTGAAATTTATCAGCAGGTGATGTTTACATCAAAAATTGCTTTTCAACACCAAAATAAAACATTCCCGAAACACATTGAGATTCTATGGACCTCGTCTTTGGCATAGTATTGATGGTAACATTATGTCACGGTCATCCGTGGGATGTTTTAAGAACTTCTATTAAAAAACTCCTTGTCTCCGATTATCTTACGTAGCTCCTTCTCTTTTATCATTTAATTTTTTTTCATCCGCTGTCTCTTCTGAGAGTTTCAAGTATTCCAGTTTCTCGTTTTCAAAACATGTACATCCCAGTCCGTTGGTTCGTTTTTGTTTTGTTCGTTTTGTCTGTCCTGTTCCGTTCTCTGTCTTTTCTGTACGATCTGTTGAAAGTTCTGTTCGTCAATTTGTTTTGTCTTAAAAAGGCATTTCTATATAAGACTTCTTTTAAATATGCCTCCATAATTGCCTCTGTTTCATGTCTTATCATTCTTGTATTTCATCAAACATTTGTCTTATATCGACCTTCTGTATTATTTTCTGAATGTACATTTTGCAATATGGAAATAAATGTTGAGATGAAAAACATGAATTGAATTAAAAACGTCGCCTCAAACACTTTCATTGAAAAGACTGGATAGTTTCTATGACTGTTTTGCGTTTACCACATGTTACCTATTGCATGTTTGATGTGTGACGCAGTATATGCTTGTCGTGTTTCAACATAATTATAGATACGACTTCGTGTAGAATATAGCGTGGTGTGTGAGAGTAAACAGTAACTACACGCATGATCTCCTGCCATGGATAAAAACCATCAATTATTTAAACCACCTGCTAATTTCTCTTTCACTCTTATTCTACAGGGTGAGTCAAAAGAAAGGAAACCCAAATGACAGGACCAATTATTTAATGAAGTTCTACGTGTATCACTTTCAAAATCTAGGATATGAAAGCACAGTTAATAAGCTTTCTTTTAGTACAAGAATCATTCAAATCACTCATGTACTTTTCAAGTTGTGAACACAAACACCGTTTTAAAGTTCTGTCCACGGATCACAAAAAGGTAAGTGTTCTTTCAGCAAAACGAATACAATTCACATATTGATGTGTGTGAATATTTTTCGTTTTGTTGAAAGAACACAAGCCTTTTTTTGTGATCCGTGGACGGAAGTTTAATACGGTGGTTGTGTTTAAAATGCCGTTACTTGAAAATTACTCGAGTGATTTGAATGATTCGTTTACTAAAAGAAAGCTAATTAATTGGGCTTTCATATCCTAGATTTTGAATGTGCTACATGCAGAACTTCGCTAAAACAACGGTCCCGACATTAGGGTTTCGGTGTTTGACTCACCATGTAGAGTGAACGCTTTTGTCGAAAGAATAATATAAATAGACGAGGAAAACTGAACTGTGACTATACATGTATATACTGTTTTTATTTTTGAGTAAATGGTCTGTTATAGATAAAGGGACTTCATGTAAGGCAAAGATATTTTTTTAATAGAATTGTTTTTGTATATTTAGATATCCCTGATTAAAATATGACACAATGCTAACGACAGGGCCATGAATTGTATTACTCTTTGTGTAAACTTGTGTTGCGTGCAGTTTGGACGCACTATACTGCATCATTGAAGTATTCAGAACAGTTATGTACTGTCTTCAGCAAAGAGTGTTTTCCAGAAAAAAAAATTGATGGAACTGGAATATTCATCATTTCTTCCCAACATTTTATAGATTTTGAAAATAATATTTTTGTTTCAGTGAAAGGATATTTTTTTAGTTGGTAATATTTACCGACAGTGGCTTCCTCGAATCCAATGATGGCAGCCTCGCCGTAGTTTCCCCATCCGTCACTGCCGATCCAGATGAACCGTCTCTGGGCTCCAACGCGGCGAGCCGCCCGGAAAATCTTCCTGGCAAGCTCAATGTCCACGAAGAGAACCACGACGACCGAGTCAGTGTCGGCTTGGAGCTCCAGCAACCCCTGGATCATCGCGTCCAACTCCCCCTGGTCGGCAAACGGCGACACGGTCCGGTAGCTCGACATGGAGGTGCAGATGTCGCCCCCGGTGCTGCGGCGTTGAAACTCCTGCTGCCCGTTGTGGCCGTAGATCTCGTCCGAGCTGATGAAGGTGACGTAGGACCAGTTGAACTCCATCAGGAGGTCCACGATGGCCTCGACCTGGTAGATGTCGGGACTGACGGTCCTCATGAAGTACGGGTAGCGGTTCTTGTTGCTCAGGACGTCGCTGGTGGAGAGGTAGCTGACCTGGGGCATCCGGTAGAGACCGAGAAGGATGGCCGCCTGCTCGCTGCAGCTGCTCCGGCGGGCACCGACGACCCCAACAACCGGCCGGTCCTGGTCACCGAACCCGCTCCCTGGAATGAAATTGAGGCTGCTGCGGAGAGTGGCCGAGACCGAGTAGAAGGTGTCTCGGATGTGGTATCCAAGTCGCACCCCGGGCAGGATCGTGTGGTTCCTGTTGATCCAGTTGATAGCGTAGACCATAGCCTCGACTTCACGCAGAGCTTTGATGGACCGGAGCGGGGAGCAGAGACCATCATCCGACAGGTTGGTGTAATGAAGCGGTATTAGCCCTCCTATCATCAGATCTCCTTCCTGGATATAACCAGTGTCTTGGTTACCACAGGGACTCGCTACCTCCTCACAAAGACTCAAACTCGACAGGTGCAGAACCACCAGAAAGCACCCCAGTGAGCGAAACGCAACACACGCCATAGCTGATGATCTTCACTTGCTACGACGAGTCCTATGCATACATCGACCTACCCTTGGTCGTGAGAAAGTGTCTAATGTGTTCCAGTCGTCGCAAAGGCACCACAAGCACTTGATCAGTTTGCCCTACCGATTAGAGTCAATTTTAATAAGGTACTTCTCAAAAAAATTGACTCATCAGGTTAAGCCGCGCCAACCATCCTACGTCTCACGAATCGCCGCCCGTTTTGGGTGAATAATTTATCGGTGCACTTGCTCTGTACAAATGGCTCGGTCGTTTGGACTTTGGTTAATGTATGATAATAGATAATGCCATTATAAAGCTGGATAATGCTGAAAAGTTCCCAAACCGCACGAAAGTGAAATGATGATAGAATCACGTGATGAACGCATCATGCACGCGCCAGTGTGACTGTAACAAAATGCTTGATTGGGAAAGTGGTTCTAAATATACCAGGAAGTAACCATTCCGAAAGAGAATGTCGCCTGTGTTCGTCTTTGTTTTTTGTTATGGTTTTTTCTTTCGAGTGGGTCGTTCAGCTAGCTCTAAAACAAGGAAGCGTCCTTGAAAAATAAATAATAAAGTTTTATGAACAACATGCAGTCACGTGTTTCCTCGGAAACAATTCCTCCTACAACAGAAGTAGTTAATCTTTTTACAGAAAGCCGGAAATCGCTGGATTGTTGCCAAGTTTGGTGTGACCGCGCATTTCTGATGCTTTTGGCCTATACTGGACCTGAGCAAAATGTGAAGTGTTTCTCTTGACCCCATGGGCTGATTTTCAACCTGCCTGAAAACACTTTTTTCTTGGATTTCAAAATAAATCAGTAGTTGATTGCTTTCCACTCCAGAGAAGGCATACCCGCACCTTTATTTTTTCAGACCGATGCCTCTAGGGCTTGTCACTCTTAATACTTTCGGCTCAATGTTCGCTAAAGTGCCCCAAGACACAAGCGCCCGCACTATCTCACCAGTCGAACGACCGATTTTCATTACTCAAAAGCCCATGGGGAAATCCCTTTTGCGTATTTTTTTCCCCGGCTGTTAATAGGCCTGATGTCAATAGTTAATGTCCTGCCTGAGATACATAATGAAGACTGCTGTGTACCATTGAACTTATTCATGATGAAGCAATTTGGTCGTGATCCCTGAATGTATTTTATAAATAATTGTCTGACTGTCAATTATTTTTTTTTAATGTGGCTTCAAACATTAGGGTATGGTCAGGCCTTTTATAATTACACATTTTGAATTATTCATCAGAGCCGACTCGAATTAATTTGTAATTACCTTAATGTCATTGCTTTCATGTCTCCTCGCAAGTTCAAACAATGAAGATTTTACCTGGCTTTCAATTTAATATGGTCGACTCGTGAATAAAACCCATTCATGAGCGTTGCCAGGATTTGTTTCTAAGGGGGGGGGGGGGGGGGAGACACACACTCTCAAGCAGTGCAGTGGGATCCTTTCCAAAAACTTATAAAACATGGAGCCCAGAAATACGGAGCCCCTAAAGGGACATTCGAAACATAATTTTACACCTAAAAACATAATTTCAGTTCATAATTTCGAGCGCAAGAAATGATTTCAAGCGCAAAAAAAAAAAAAAATGAGCCCACGAAACACTGACTCTTCATTTTTGCAATTATTTATTTAATGCCCCTTTAGGGGCTCCGTACATAACGGATTTGGGAGCTACTGTGATGTCAACTAAGAAGTTAGTTTTTTCCAAGTGGCACCTTATATATAGGCCTACCCACTTGCCCATAACACCAATGCGTTTGTATTATGGGCTGTACAATCCTGTAATATGTAACGAAAAACCAGTGCTAGATACCATTACCTGTAATTTAATAACCTGTTTCTCTCAGATTATTATTTGGCTTTGGGGTTGATATTTAAATGACTGTTTTGTTTTTGGTGTAATATAGGTTTTCCCTGCTATATTGAAACGTTTATCATTCGGATTCACCGTTTCTAATATTCAAATTCGTCCATCAACATCGATTTAGCGCACTCCCAATTTCGTCTTTTGTCAGACAATTTCAAACTCAATTCAAGCACATTCAAACAGTGAGCACACGTTTTCGTCCCGGAGTATTCGATTTCGTCTCGTGTACGCCAAACCTTGTTATTCAGGAATCAAATTCGTATATTTGATTTTATATAAGACGAATTCGATCTCTGAATGCTGCCATTCGGCAACAGCTTAGACGAATTTGATCTGAATATTCTCAACCCAGTGACTAAAAAGGGTGACCAAACTTAAATTTTTTATCTTAAATGACTAAATTGGTTTTGTGAAAAGCGTGTGAAATTTTTCGTGGATGAAATTGAATGATAGAGTTGGTGAATTTGAGTGAATTTTAAAAAGCCGGGGAAAACCTATATATATTTAAAACCGCATGGATATCTGTTCAAAAGTGATCATGGATACACACCATGAAGAGCCCGAAACAAGGGAGCAACGAATGAGTTTATTGAGTTCTATTTTGGTACGTTGCTGAAAAGGCTTTTAACCATAGAGCAATTTCTCTAAAGTAGGCGAACGGCCGTGGGTTCACTTACGTAGATATCAAACTACAAAGCAACCGTGCCGTATGTATCAGTAACAATTAGTCTGCCCCCAAAACCAGCGCTTGGCAATGACAAATGGCAATGGGATATGTACACGTATCAGGCCCACTGTGATAATCGGTAAAACAGGCATCGATTTTGATTTCAAATACGCCGAGCGCGAGCGAAACTCATTAGGTACCTTGGGAGCAATTTCGCTAAAAGTCACGGTTATGATGTATTACCTCTCCGGGCGTGTGTATTAATATTGCAAGTCCAGAAAATGTCAACTGTACCGTGTTTTACTGATTGGTTCGTCGCATTAACTATAAAGAGGTGACTCCTTGAAGATGTTGATGATATCTGTTCGTTGACTTTCACCACAGAGTTTGCATTATCAAAGTGGTTAGCGATGTAGGGCGACCCATTGTTGCCGTGGGTTGGTTGTCTAGTGCGTCGAACTCAATCATCCTGGAGAGGTTGCAGTTTATAGAATTGTCAGTGCTCTAGAAATGTTGACATTATATTAATTCGTTTACCACTTGTCACTTCGTGCTTTCATAGAACCGCCAGGAAACATTTCAACTATGTGATGATTTTTTTTTTCGTTTTAAAGGGAATACACAACATTTGCTTTTGCTGTGTTTCAGAAATGGATGGATTTGGGGGTTTAGTATTTCGTAGCAAATATTGTTACACTGATTTGTTTGAAGTTTTGTGTTCGTAGATGCTGAAAAAAAAACCAAGAAAAAGCTATCATGTTCCTGTAGTCTGGTTCCCTTATACCCATGAAACGGAGCAATTTATAGACGTCGGGGAATTGTAAGGTCAGGGAACCATTCTAGCTGTCTTGTACCCGTTCATGGGTGTGTAATCGATTGCAAACAAAATGTGGATTAACTTTATATTGTAAATTGGGGGCCGTGTTTTAAAAAAAAGCCAGTTTCTTTCCAACGCTGGTTGGCCGACCAGCGTTGGAAATTGCCACTTTCCTTGAAAATGACAGCACACAACAGTCCAGTAAGGTATTTAATAATACATTTTGTAATTTGGTAGTTTTGTTTTTGATGTTTGAAAATGTTTGAATAACATTTAGCAGAAACGTGACTGACATACTTATGAGTGTGGCTTTAGTCCCGACTGCATCGTTACCTCTTGTGTCCATGAGCAAGACACTTTTCCACAATTGCTTCAGCTGGGAATATCAATCAAAGTCTGTTGAACAGGATCGAGGGGTATTTGGTCAAGCAGTGCGAACAATCCCCAACCCCCTCGCAAGCTGTCATCTCTTTTAATTTCCTCGATCAGGGATCACATTTAAAGAAACTGAAGTATCGGACACTGTCCTCATAACCTAGAAAATATTCCCCTTCCTCATATCACGTTACTGTCACATGCCGAGTCCAAACTCATTATTTTGTGCTTCCTTCCTTGATTAAACCTTACACTGACTTTCATTATCTAATGCGTATACATTACCGACTCGCATAAGATCACTGGACTAAGTCCCGTGATAATTATTTTCTACTTCAGTTGGATTTTCTTCCCCGTGGTGTGATCGTAGGTACGCGTGCATGAAATGTTTCACAGTACATAAGCCTTACGTTAGTGTTAGGCATTGTAAAAAAAATTAAAAATAAGGGACACACGTTTGTCCAGGCCACATATGGCGCGTGTAACCTCGGTATAAAAAGAAAACCTCAGATTGTTTGCTCGCGCGATTGCATGCCCGCCCAACCGTAGCGCTGCGTACCGCGATAACGCGCAGATGTAGCAAGCTGATAGGTCGTTATCGTTTCACGCACGTCTTCGCAATACACCGCTTGATGGTGCGTAGCCTAGCAACAGCTTCTAGTAGAGGGAATCCGGGAGGCACGGAGAGATCGAGTGATGGCATAATACGGAGACAGATAGGAGCCCCTTTAAGTGATTCCCAAGTACACAGATATAACCTTGTTTCTATCAGTCACGGTGTCATTGTCCTTCTGTCTGGGTGACATAACATGTGTAGTTTTGTGGCCATAAAAGATCGCGTCCTTGTTACATTGTATTATGTCAAGGAAATTAGTTGTGCTTCCGATTACATGGCATTTGAAAATAGGGTACATAGGTAGGGACATTTTTTTTTTTTTTGCAATTTTTTTTTTTTTTTGGTACGATCATATCGAGGCTTCTGCGTGTAATCAAGGGTAAAAGGTAGAACTTGATGGTTTTGGGTGTTTTTTTCCCTCATTTTTCCACTAAAAATATTAGGGTAGGGGCTGTCAAAATAGGGTAGGTAGGGAAACCGGAAGCAGAATTATATTTTTTTGGCCTTAGTACTATGTATTAGTCACAATGGTCGTTACGGTCCGCATACGATTCATTGCATGCGGACATGCTTTTTGTTGAAGTAATGTATGAAAAATATCCATGTATAGTCACGTGGCCGTAATTGATCATGTGACCTTTGTATTTAGGTACCCTGGCTTGCCTCTCTTCGATTTGGTCATCATGTAATCACTTACTTAACCCAAGGTGCCAGTTCCGTTCACGTGACCTAAGTCCACTTGACTGTTTGTGATCAAGCGACCCCATCTTGTTCTTGGATGCCCTGTGTTCAAATGTAGTCACATGGGAAGTTGCGGTGCTCAAAAGGCGCTGCGTCATTACCCTGCTCATTGGACCAATGAAACATTCCAAATACCATCTCAGCTCCCTGGGGAGTATACAGCTCGATGCTGTCATTTTAGAGCAAAGCAGCAAAATAAAAAATCAACCGCAATAACCATCTCTGCCCTCACAGGTACCCATTTACTCATGGGTGGGCAGAAGCTTCCTTTCCCAAGGGTACACGCACCATAACCCAAGGCTGGACTCGAACCCACAACCTGCAGAATTACCCGCAGACCTCGGATTCAAAGTTCCAGACCACAAGGCCACGGCACTTCACTGGGCCTTATTGGCAACACCACTCCACACCACTAATTGGCAATACCCATCCGCTGTATCTAGATCGTGCCGATGTTTTTCAGGTCTCTCGTATATATATTTTTTCATCAAA